AAGAAGTGGAACCTAGTGGGAAGCATTGGATAATTAGTGTTGCCCTTAGGTGGAATTAGTGTAGTTTTTATGGGACTTCAGTTAGTTCTCAAGAAAGGATTGTCATAAAAGAGAAGATCAGCCCCTCTTTATTCTGACTTCCTTTTTTGCTATCTGATCTCTCTCTCTGTTATACACACACACATACCACACACACACACACACACACACACACACACACACTATATGAAGCTATCTACTATGAAATCTACTATGAAGTCATCATCAGAACAGGGGTCATATTTGACCCTAAAATTGTGAGGGTAAATAAAACTATTTTTAATAAAGTACTCAGTCTCATCAGTTTCAGGTATTTTGTTATACCAACAAAAACTTAACACTTCTTTCTGTGTAGAGCCAAATATAAAATATTTTAGGCATTTTGTTTTATGGTCTCTCTTACAACTGCAGATTCTGAGTTTACACTCAGGAGAGTAGTTATAAATAGTGTTTAAGTGAATGAGCATGGCTGTGTTCCAATGAAACTTTATCTATGGACATTATATGAATTTGAATTTCATATCATTTTCCTGTCATGAGATGTTATATTTCTTTCAATTTTTTTAGGCTTCTAATGTGCAAAAACAAATCTTATCTCATGGTTATTAGAAAAACAGGTGACAAGCCAGGTTTGGGCTACAGATCCCTAATGTACTAACACTGAGTCTGGGTGGTCCTCTGCATCTGCTGTTGTATTTTTTTAACTTCATTTTAAACTGCTTCATTTCTTAATTGCATTGCAGACGGGTAATATTGAGGAATTCAGGTCTGATTATGTCGAGCTCCTGTTCAATTGTTTCCTTTGTTCTTAAGCCAAATGAAAAAAATTTTTTACATTGTCCAAAATCTCTGTAGCATCAGAGTCCTAGCTCTCTCTGTTCTTATACCATCTTGATGGACATTTCATTTCATGCTCAATGCTTCTCTCTCAACAAAAATTTTTGACCAATGCTTCCTATCAATATAATATATAGACTCTGATTCTTAATTTGTATGTGCTCTATCACTTGCATCACACAATTACCAAGTAAGTATGTTAGAAAAAGTTTAGCAAAACAAAGTTCTGTGAAAAATTGTTCATGGAAAGGAAATTTCATATAATTTTTATATCAGAAGTTAAAAACAAAATATAAATTTTCTAGTTGAACCTATGTGATAATTGTATAGTGCCACATAATTACAATCTTTAAGGTAGTTTTACTGTATTTCATATACTCTATCCAGTAAGCCATGTCAAACATCTAGCAATCATACAGAATACTTTTAATAACACCATGTTGTGAAATCTGAACTCATTATGTGTAACAAAACAAAAATGCTTATTACTTTGAATTAAATGTTGCTTTCTACATGGATAACCTGTTCTGAATGACATTTTTCAAATCATTTTACTTTAATGATTTTTGACAATCTATTAAATAATGTCCATAAGCCAATAACTCAGGAACATGAGATTGTTATTATATCTGACACTTGACTCTGTTTGGGGTACTTCTTTTTAATCAAAAGAAATTTAACTATATTTCTGTGTCTCTGATGACATTCAATAGCCCAAATTAAATGGGTTATTCATGCCAAAGCTCATGAATATAATCATGACATTAGATGGTAAAGGTATTAATGATTATATATAAATAAATCTCTACAGTCAGAGTAATAGTATCGATGACATCTTGGCTTCTATAATTAAGAACCATAATTCATTGTTCAAAGTAATTATAGAAAATTGAACAAAATGTGAAAGTGATAAAATGTGATTTTTCATAATGGCCATCCAATCAGATAAAAGAAATAGATTATTAGAGCTGGACAAGTTAGAAGTGACTTAACTAACATAATTTAAAGAGAGAAGTTAGGGCAAAAAATAAAAAGTCTAGTTAATTTATTTCAGACAAGTCACCTAACCTCTTGGAGTCTAATATGCCACATGTAAAATGTGTTAATAATAATAACAGACTCATAATGTAATATGCACAAGATAATTACGTGCATGTTTGTGCACTCATGTGTAAACATTGTCATACACACTGTCAACCTTTGATTGTTAGGTTATTCAAAATATAGTGAAATATCTGTTACAAGTTCAATAATATCACCTTCAGAGGAGGTCCATTCTGATCATCCTATTTTAAATTCTGACTCAATAAATATTCCTCATATCTCCTATGAAAAAAACTACTTTAACTGCTTTTTTAGTTCCAAAGCATTTTATCTAACATACAACAACCTTCTGTGTTTAATAGTTTCCTTCTTTTATCCTTACTGTATTGTAAATTGTGAGTGATGAGTGTAACAACATATTTCTATATCACACACAGTTTGGAACAATGCTTGTCACATAGTAGGAACTCAAAGCATCCACTGAATAAATGAATTTTAATGAACTTTATATTTTGACTCTTTGATGTCTTTCTTTCCAAGTTAATTGCAAAAAGTTATTTTTAAAACTTTGAAAAATAATATCTCATTCCAGTTAGGCATGTGGTTTCATTGGCCCAAAGTTCATTTGCCTAAGACTGTTTTATTTCTTTATATTTTCCTGGGTTTTTAAAATCTAATTTAAGTAGTGTCAGTGATCCAGTTATTATAAATCAATGGATTCCATCTTCCAAGAAAGAAAATAAATGTTTCATCTAATTCTAAAGGGGTGTTTTTGTAAATCAATGATGGCTTTTTTTTTTTTGGAATTCTTTATTATACCAGGAGAATAATTTGTCATAACGTCTGTTAAATATAACAACAAGTACAAATGATCCAATAAAAATCAGTGAAAGGAATAGAAATTTTGGGATAAAAGGGCATGCTGGGTTAATTATGATCAATCATATTCTGAAGCTGAGAATGACTTTACCATTTATTGTTTTTCTTTTATTCTTGAAAACGTATGTATTTTGATTATTTTAAAATGACTATTTAAAAGATGGCTATTTCATAGCAATTGAGGTAATACAAATTGGCATAGAAGAGTCACTAGAATAAAAATTTAGGCCTTGAGTCATTTTCTGTGGGAGCTGTTCAATGATAATGAAAACATTAAAAAGAAATTCATTCTGAGGATGTCAAAGTTCCCAAGTATATGACAGTTTGACTACAGGCTATGATAATTTTAGAGTGGCAATAAATGCAGAGGCTTCCATCAGTTCAGAACCTACACTACCAACAATTTAGTGCTAAGAACAACTCTAAATACAGAAAAATCCTCCAACTTCTAAATATTTTAATTGTCTTTGAAAGTAAACACAAATATATCCGTTAAAAGGATGTCTATGTAACCTCAGAATCTCTCTTCGAGAAGAAACTTTAAATAAGATGAATTATTTAAAAGTATTTAAAAGACAAATAATAATAAAATAACAATTATAAGGAAAAGCAGTGCTTCTGGCACTTAGTATACTCCTAGAAATTTATGGAGCATATGCCTAGCCCAGTGGCATACACCTGTAATTCTAGTGACTTGGGAGGCTGAGACAGGAGGATTTCAAGTTCAAAAGCCAGCCTCAGCAACTTAATGAGACTCTGTTTCAAAATTAAAAAAATAAAAAGGACTGAGGATGTAGCTCAGTGGTAAAGTACCCCTGGGTCAATCCCTAGTACCAAAACTAAATAAATAAACAACAAATAAGTAAATAAATAAATTCAGTTTATAAAATCAAAAAAATAAGAAAACTTTAAGTCAGTATCTCAGAGCTGGACTCTACTATTTCTTTAAATTCACTGGACTAATAAGTAAGCATGAATTTTAATATAATAAATGAACTTAAAATATATTTTCAATTATATTTGCTTTCTTTTCTAAATTTTCCAGAAGAAATATATCTACTGTGATGACTTGGGAAGCTATGGCCAGGATTCTAACTCAATTGGTTAACAATGAGAGAGATAGAATGCTCTTCATAACAAAATACACCAATATCAACAACTCCAATTTTCCTCAATGAAAGATTTAGGACCCATTATTTTTTCTCTCATTTCCCTCATCCACTCTCTGTGTATTCTTTGCTACTATCCTTCATGGACACAGAGTAGATTCCATGGCTCTCAGGTGATGTGCAGACTAGACAACATCCAGGAATAAGAAGGATGTCTATTCTCATATGACTTATTCAGGGTTGGGACATAATTCTTAGAAGCCAATCATTAACATTGCCTTACATCTTATTGTCCAGGAAAATATCACATACCTTTTTCAACAATAGAATTATTGGCAAAAATAATGAGGTTTTGATGGTTACATTAAGTATGGGACCTTGAGAAGGAAAGCAGATTATCTGAAGAAAACAGAGTCTGTAGGAAAGGAAAGAGGGATCAGAGGATTGCACTGAATGTTACATGAGCATTCAACATTGTCTGCTTCCTTGATCATTAACTTATTTATTAAATAAATATTTATTGAATGGTTAACATATTTCAAGCACTGTGTTTGCCATTGAAAATAAATGTCTGAAACAGGAAAGATGAGACCTGTGTTCTTATGGCATCTTCATGTCAATGAAAGAGATAGAAAATATTAATATTATGAATAACAGAATTGATTACATTGAATTTCATCAAAGGAAAGTAGAAGGATATGACATATTTTAAGTGGATAATTCTATTTATTGATGGACAGAATGTGGCTGATGAGAGAAGAAAAGTAGCAATCTGGAAGGATAGTGATATCACAAGATAGTGAAATATGTTGTAACTAGTTATGTGGAAGAAGTGCAAGCATCTGAGAGCTTTATTTTGACCACATTGCTCTAATGTGGGCAAAAGACACTATTATACACTACATGTGAACCTGGCCCTCCAAGGAGAGTCTATACTGGAAGATTACATATTTCATAGAATTACCTCGTTATCTGGATATATCCTCTTCTTATTTTTACACTTTTAATAATAGACTCTCTGATAAAAATGCAAAATAGAACAGATTCTTTAAAAAATTTGGCAGTTTCTTGTGAAACTAAATATACTCTCACCTTAGAATTCAGCAATTTCACTTCCTGGTATTAACCAAGTGAGCTGAATATTCAAGTTCACAGAACAGGCACATGGATGCTCACAGAAGTTTTATTCTGTAATTGCCCAAACTTGGAAGCCACCAAAGCATTGTCCTTCAAAGGGTGAATGGATAAGGCCCTAGGTTTGATCCTACAAAAAATAAAATAAAAATACAGAAAAACATCCTGTGAACCACTGGTAATAAAAATGTATTTACCATTTTAAAGAAAATTTAGAGTATTTCTAACTTTTATATAACATTTCTCCTATATCTAGAAAATGTCATAAGTCATAAATCCATATCTTCAACCAATATTGCAGTATTTTCTGTTGTCCCTTTTTATTGTCATATATAAATTCTTTTTGCCATTGAATATTTTCTATATGAGAGATACACCTTAGTTCTTCTGCCTTTGAATGGAGATAAAAAGCACAATGGAATCCAAATAAGTGGAGGTGAATTAAATTAAAATGAGGAAATTCTAAATGAAAGAAATTAAAATATCTTGGTCATGTAAATAACAAAATTCTTATATGAACCACATTGACATATCAAGATGATTCTAACTCTTGATCAATTTACCCCAGATGACACATTCATCAGTACCAATTAAATAGTCAACCAGGTCAATAATTTCTCGAAGTCCTTTTTATATTTAGCATTCTCCTATTTAACCTATTAGAGTTATTATATCTTTTTCATTTCTATGTTATTAAAATTGGTATATATCATATGCTTGTAAATGTAATCATATTTGTTAGTAAAATGCCTTTGCTCAACAAAAGTTTTTTTTTTAATTCTTTAAGAAATCTTTTAGATTATTCAAACTATAGAGAAATAACAATCTAGGTAAAACTTCTGACTGTAAAGATCTGAAAAACTACGAAATTGTTTTCAGAAACTGAAAAAGAGGCAGATCAGATTTATGAAACAAAGAAAATAAAAGAAATGAATCACAAAATTACTGTGACTTTCTGTCTGGATGAAATTTCCAGACCATGAAAACATAAAGGGGAAACAAAGAAAGACTGGCAGCCTAAATCAGTTGAAGAGATAAAGACTGCAGTTTGAGATGCTCAGTGGCCACTCAAAAGGGGTAGAGATTCCGTAATAGAGTTCCTCTCTACCTAGAGTCAGCCTGCTCTGAACCTGTCCTAGCAAAGCTAAAATGCGACCTTGAAAGGATCAAAATAATCTATGATAAAATAAATTCCTCTCCAAATAAAGAAAAAAGAGTCTTTGAAGTGTCACAACAAAATACAGACATTAAATAAGTCAACTCACAATTTCCAACATGGAGTAAAAAAGTTACTATACATAACCTGAAACAGAAAAATGTAATCTATTAACTTTTTTTTTAAAATAAGCCAATGAAAACAGACACAGAATATGACAGAGTTGAATACTCTAGCAAATAGGACATACAAAAAGCTATTTTCAATATACTCCATATGCTCACAAAAATACAAAAACAGACAAAAATAATAAGAGAAATTAAAACTACCAACAATAATCAAGTGGAAATTCTAAACATAAAAAAAGCAACATCTGATGGGAAATTGTTCTTAGGTGAAATCTTCAGCAGACTAGATTCTGAAAAATAAAAGATCATTGAATTTGAAGACATAACAATGAAGCAGAGAGAAAAAAATACATCAATTCTATGTGTTCTGATACTTTTTGTTTCTTGTATCTCTTGTTTAATAACCATTACACACAAATAGACAAAGGTAGCAGTCAATATAGACTTCTGATGAGAAGTTATACAAGTCATAAGATCATAAAATTACCACCATTTTAATGCTGAATGAAAAAAAGACAACCAACATAGAATTTTATCTCCAGAAAAAAAGTTCTTTAAAAACAGGAAAAAGTAAAGCTATTTCAGAAAAATAAAAGCTGAGACAATTTTTAGAAAAGAGAGCACAATCACAAGAATTGTTAATGAAAATGATTACAGAGGGAAACTGTAATTTCTGCAAAGAAATGAAACAGAGAAGACATAATAAACATGTTGGTAAATATTTTTAAATGTAAGTTTTTTCTTAATTATTCTGAAGAAAAAATCATGTAAATCAAAAAAATTTTAAAAAACATGGGTAGTGGTATAGATCAGTGGAGTTCTTGCCTAGAATGCATGAGACCCAGAGTACAACCTCTAGCCACCACACACACACACACACACACAAACACACACACATGACAAAGTTAAAAGTGTATCTGGGGTTTATAGTGTATGTACAAGAATTGCAATACAGAATAAAATTGCAATATACAGTCTAAAAATCTGAAATTCATTAAGTGGCAGAAGATTTTTTTGAAGATAATCTTAGAAATGTTTTAAATGTATATTATATACCCAAGGGTAAGCACTAAGGAAAAAACCAGAAACATAGAGTCACTAAGATCATAGTCAAGATGATACAGGAGACATGAATTATTTCACTCACCCAAAAGAAAGAAGGAAAAGAAGAAACCAGAAAGAAAAAACAAATAACATGACAGTAAATTTAAACTGCAATATATTAATAATGTTATATATAAATGGCCTAAATATTCCAATTAAAACACATAGATTATCAGATAGGACAAAAAAGCAAAGTCCAACTATACCATGTCTATAAGAATCTATTACAAATTAAAACAGAAATATGTTTAAAGTAAAAGAATGTAAAAAGATATATGTCAAGCTGAAACAAAAAAAGTGGAAGTAGCCATAGTAACATAGGTCAAATTAGATTTCAGATAGAGAATTTTATCAAGGATAAACTTGAAAATATCAAAGGATATAAAGGTCAATTCAAATGTATGTAAACCCAATAAAAAAGCTTCAAGTTGTAAAAATCAAAAATCAAATAGAACAGAAAAGTGAAATAGCCAAATTATACAATTATATTTAGAAGAGAAAAAAGTAAAACCTGGTCATATATAAAGTTTTCATTTTTTATTGAAACAACAGATGTAACTACTGTAACAAGTTATCAATCATTTGTTTACTCATACTACTATGTGACAGGAAATTTTCTAAGTTAATTGATAACTGTTATAATCCATGTTCTCAGGGAATTTACTATGTATTAAAGAAGCTTACAGTCTTGTAGAAGGAGCTACACTTTGCAGATATTTAGTTAGGTACTAGATGAAATAAAGTTGAAAGTTTTATGAAATTATTATTTTTCATAAATTTTCATTGTGAAGAAATTTAAGTACATAAAAATTAAACAAATAATACTTAATTAAATATATATAATCTACTAAAATATTAATTTTTTGAAATAGTTTCCCCTTATCTCTGTAGCTATTATTATTTTTTTAACCATTTGAAAGTAAATTTCAGATACTAAAATATCTCTTAATAATTTGACACATCTTCTATTAAGGCTATTTTGCCACAATAAAAAATTAACATCTTCATAACATCTTCTAATTCATTTCATATTCAAAATTTTCTAGTTATCCTAAAAATTTCCTTTAGAGCTGGTTTCATCAAAACAAGATAAAATCACCTTTCAAGGATTCTTTTGTCATTGTATCCTCATCTTTTTTTTATTTGAGAAGAGTCTCTAAATGGACACATGAATAATAAGTACTCGTTTTGGTAAAACTAGTATCTTTTTGAAGACTGTAATCTGCTATTTTTCTGACTGATTGCAGTACTATTTAACATACTATCTTCTGACTTACTTGAAATGGAATTTGGGCATAAAATTGCTATAATTCAGGATAATTTTTTGATTCAGTATAAAATTTGGTGATGCAAAGTACTCTATATTGTATCAAATTGAAAGGTACAATGTGAATTCGAGGGTGTTATGATTAAAGAGATTGAGTAAATTGGCAAAAAACACTATGTTGTGCATGTTTCAGAGGAGACACAATGAGAAAGTAAAACCAAAATACATGAAATTGAAGAATTTTATTACAGCAACAGGAGTTCAATGGAAATGCCGGAGACAATGGGGTACTTAAGCAGTGGGTAGAAAGTAAGAGAGAACAGTGACCTCTAAACTCTGTCTCTTTTTGGTCCATGGGCATCACCTCAGGCTTTTCTACAAGAGTTGTAGAGAGGCGACTTTAAAGAAAACACATGAAGGGGCAACTTATTCACCTAAAGGTGTTAACTTCTTGGTTTTACTGGAGTAAGCAGCAATGGGAAGTAGACGGTTTGGGGGTCACTGAGATGAGGTACAAAAGGACTATGTCACAAATTGCCATGAAAGGAAGGGAAATTTTAGGATATCCAAAGGTGGCAGGGTGTGACTGTTAAAACCAACTTGGGTTAAGTTAGAAATGGATGCTATAGAAGCAACTTTAAAAGATAAATTTAAAGCACACATTTATGTTCATGGCTTTACTTACAGTTTGATTACTTATTAATCACTTCCTTCTGAAATAAAAATCAGCTCCACTCTCATCAAACCTCCACTGGGAGTTTCTTTTCCACAAAATTGTCTCACATGGGCTTGGGAATAATGTTCTGATTTTTGTTTCAGTTTTCATATTCCAGATCCTCCATAATGCCTGTTTTCTGAAAGTCACTGGAAAGAGATAGTTTCTATCATCACTTCTTCTATACTCTGTGAAGGGGAGATGAACTACACAATCAGGCGTCCTCAAAGCCCTCACAGCAGGAGATTGTCACACTGTAGTTTAGTTCTCACTGCACTGACAATCATTCTGTGATGCAAAAATAAACAAGGAAAACATTCCACTTCCAAACTCTGCATGACTTGGTCATTGCAGTCACACTTCTCACAAATAAATCTCAAAATATCCTCAGATTTCTATCTACTTCTATCCTTTCCATTAGACCAAGTCCCTAGAACTTGAGAAATAAATAATATTTTCTGTGTTCTTTCCTGTCCCTCTCACAAGTGTTCCTTTTAGCCAACATTTTCTCTTAAAGTCATCATAATCGCTCTTGTGCTGAGGATGTCACTCATAGTCAATTTCAGTTTGTCATGCCATTTAGTGAGCTTGATTTGGGTTCAAATTCAAGTTATGCTACATATTTACTGTGGCAATTTCTTAATGTTGCTGAGATTCAGCTCCTTATCCCAAGAAAAATGGAGATATGATCACCTATGCAACAGGGTATTCTGAGATCAAAAAAGACAATGCACATAAATTACTTAGTTCAGTGTCAAGTACATTAAATGTGTCAATAAATATTACTAATTCTTTATTGAGACATAGAAACCACTTTCTACCCATGATATTTCCTCCAGTAATATCTTAACCCTTCCTAAATATATCATTCATCCTTAGATACAATATCTTGGTTTCTTTTTTTTATTTTCACATTCTTTATGCCACATAATATTTAATTCCAGACAAATTCAACTTCAGCTAGAACTGAAAAGAATGTTCAATTTCTTAAAAGCCAATCACTTGGTGGTATGTTATTTCTAGACCCATTTAGGAAGAAAGATTTAAGCAATTGAGCATAATATTATAGACATACTCTTGTGGCTTCCAGCAAGGTCTCAGAGTTGTCAATCATGGGCTAGTATATCAGTAAGACGGCTCTCCAGAGACATTACACAAGGCAAATCTTTTAATATTTTATCAGCTGCTGTTGATAGGAGACACTTGAGCTTAGTAAGACTTTTTATTACTTCCTTTCATTTATTCTTGAGAAGATTTTTATCTGTTTTTATGGATTGGTACCCTTTAAATTTTTATTTAACATCAGTAAACAGAGATACGATTAAAATTTCTGATTAAATTTTGCAGTAGAAAATTACTTTAAACAAGCATTCACAAATTTAATACCATAATCTTCTAACAGACTTTCATGTGTGTTTTTTGTACCCACTCCCATGTGATGCTAGTTCTCTGAAAACTGACACTCAGGTGAGGAAGAAACTAGAATTGCAACAAGAGAAGCTCCAAATAACTTTTGGAAAAAATTTTTTTAGGCTATTTTTTGCACAGCTGTACACAAGGGGCCACATGCCACAGATCAATCATAAGCCTCAAAAAGAAAGAAAAATAATAGTTACAAATATATACATACAGGAGAGAAAGAGGGAGAGAATATTTATGCCCCAAATGACTGAACTTTGCTTGTGCTTCTTCCTCCTGGTATGAAACCCCAAATAACATCCAATTGTCAAAGAGAAATTTTGCTATGTAGGCGGAAAAATTATTCAAAAGCCACTTTTAGCTTACTCACAGCCAGAAACTTGCTGATTTCAATGTTTTTCACATTAGCAGCTGTGAAAGGAGCAAAGTAAGAAACAGCTAGCAGAGCTAACGAAAGTTCATTACACTCAATCACTCAATAAACATAAGAAACTTCTCATGTAGATGTTGCTGCTGAGGCTATTACAGTATATTTCACTACCATGGGGTTAGCAAGCTTTACAATGGTGCTCTCCTGAGAACGATCTGCTGCTGCTTAAACTAGGCAGTGGGGCTGAAGGATCTATTTTGTGGTGTTGTTTGCTTGCTTTAATAAGGATACTTGGTAATTCTGCCAAGTATATGAAATTCAGATATGTTGGACTAATCCTGATTATAAGGATTGTTGCTCATACAACCTAAGAGAAGGGTATAGGAAAGTTGGTGAAGCTCAGTTCTACTATAAAACTTTGGGGGAAAAAAGAACACTTGGTAAAGTTGATTTTTTCACACTCTCTCTAATGATGAGTATGCTTATGTCCAAAAGGCCAAAGTGATGGTGGCATTAGCCTATGGGAAAGGAGATGAAAAGAGAACTGCTTCCAGACTCCACCTAAGGCAATAGAGCAAAAAGAGATCTTAAACTGAGAAATTAACTAATCCAGGTAACTAATGTAAATTTACTTATTTTCTAGACATGTCTTTTATATCTATATCCCTAGGAAACTTTTTTGAATGAGAAACTAGACTAATTGGCTTCAGTTGAGTCAGGGATTAAGGGTCCTTAATAAATCATATTAGGAGGCTTTGTTAACAACATTAGCAAGTGTGAAAAGGTGATATTGTCTGGATTAAATGTAGAAAGAGATTATCTTAGTCTAAAACAGTGATTCTCAAACTTTCGACATTGAGTGCACATTAGAATAATCTGGGAAGATTTCAAAAATCTTTATGCCCAGGCAACCCAAGAACACTAATCAAAACTCTGAATGTGAACTCAAACTTTAGTAGGTTTTTAAAGCTCCCTCGGGTGCATAAAATGCAGAGCCAAAGTTGAGAACAACTAAGATCCTTCAGCCAATATTAACCTATTTTTAGTCCCTAAAACCTTATAAATTAATGCATACAAATGCACACAAATTACTATCTTCAACTATATATTACTAAGAGATTAAGGGCTGGGGATGTGGCTCAAGCGGTAGCGTGCGGCCCGGGTTCAATCCTCAGCACCACGTACAAAACAAAGATGTTGTGTCCGCTGAAAACTAAAAAAAACCAAATATTAAAGAAATTCTCATTCTCTCTCTATTAAAAAAAATAGATTAAAACAATTTATATACAGCATTTATATATGCTATAAGTATGCACATACACATGCTCACATGATCCCAAAGAAATTAATGCAAAAAAAAAAAAAAAAACTAGCTGCTAGAACTTGGTTTCTGAATATCATTCTTTATTAAAAGTAATTGGGCCTCCTTGAAGAAATAACTGACTGGGGCAGGGAAGGTAGAAAATAAATCTGGACAATCTTATTGTGCCAGAAAAGGGTCTCCTTTTGGTCAAATTTAGGTATTAGGCATAAAAGGAAATAAACTTACTGATTATACAAATAAATTAAACAGATAAAAATAGGTAAAGAATGAGATCTTTACACAGTCTCAAAGTAGCTCTCCACAAAATTTATTCATTACTAAATTAAAAAGAGTAATTTTACTATGAAGTCTGGCAGACATGACATTAAACTTCTAATCTAAATTAATATTACAAATAATGAGACAAATAAAAACACAAGATTCCTGACAGGAATAGTCTCACTTTAGCAATATTCCTTCTGAATGTGCAAAACTAGAGTCTAATTAATAGGAAATGTCCAACAAGTCCAAATTTAAGAGTAGCCTACAAAATAGCAGGCCTATTATCTTCAAAAATGTCAAAGTTACAAAAGTCCAAAAACGTGACACTTTTCAGAACTTTCCAGACTACTGAGCCAGTAGGAAATAGTAGATTTTATACTCTCTGAAAATGTTTTAGATCATAAAATGATTCCTAAGGTCAAAACATTTAAGTAACTTTTTAGTTATTTTTAGTATAATGCCCATCTTCTAACATTTGTAAGTTAGAATTCTTAGTTGAGAGCCTGAAAAAATTTTCTATTACCACAATAGAAAAATGATCAAAGCTAAAGTGAACAGCTTTGTTTTAAAAATGCAGACAGTATTTCTTAGGTTTTGTTTTTTGTTTTTTGTTTTTTGTTTTTCGTTTTTAATATACTCTGAAAAAAGAATCATGGCTGCAGGGCATGGTGACACATGCCTATAATCCCAGAGACTCGGGGTCTGAGACAGGAGGAGTGCAATGTGGCCAGCCTCAGCAACTTGCCAAGATCCTGTCTCAAAATGAAAAGCTATTTTAAAAAAGGAATGGAGATGTAGCTCAGTGATAGAGCACTTCTGGGTCCAGTCCCTTGTCCCCTGGTGTTGGAGATTAAACATTTAAGAAATGCTGAGACAACTGTAGAAAACAAGTTTTATTTAAGAAAAGAGATAGCAATAGACTTCTTTGAAAAGAAGGGGGCCCAGAACTGGGTGTCTGCAGGAGTGGGTGTATCTTGCTCTTTTATAGACCCTCAAACCCCACACCTTCTCTTTCTTCTCTATGTGTGTGACTAAGGTTAGGAAGGAGTAGGAGCACAGGGGTTGAACCTTAGCAACTCCTTGGGCTGGTAAGTGCAATCCTGATCCCATCCTGAAAGTTATCTCTAAACAACCCATTGAGCTGGGAAGTGTAATAACAAGTGATACTCAGACCCCCATCATTCATTATCTACACTGACTGCCAGACATTTGCTCCCTGCATCAGTGTGTTGAGGAATGTGACATATCCTGCCCCCTCAGGCCAGATGGGGCAGGCAGGCAGATTGTTTTGAGCCAAAGAAAGTATGTGAGGAGTCAGTACAGTGGGCTGATTTTATAGAATTATTGTCTTATTCTCATATTTCCACCATCTTCATTTATCTGTCCCTTTACACTAGTAATGAAAAAAATATATATATGTTATGGTTTGGATATAAGATGTCCCCCAAAAGCTCACTTGTGAGACAATGAAAGGAGGTTTGGAGGAGAAACGATTGGTTATAGACTTAACCTAATCAGTGAATTAATCCCTAAGGGGATTCACTGAGTGGTAACTGGAGGCAGGTGGGGAGTAGCTGAAGGAAGTGTTCAATGGAGGCATGGCTATGGGGAATATATTTTGTATCTGGAGAGTGAAGTCTTTCTTTGCTGCCTGATCATCATATGAGCTGCTTCCCTCTGCCACACTCTTCTGCCATTATGTTCTGCCTTAACTCAGGCCTGAGGAATGGAGCTGGCCTTCTATGAACTAAGACCTGTGAAACCCTGAGACGGAACAAACTTTTTCTCCTCCAAAATTGTTCTTGTGGGGTCTTTCAGTCACAGCAGTGAATTTTAAGGTTACTGCCAATAATTCAAGTACTGTTTTCAAATAACTAAAATAATCTGCTTAAAAAAACAATTAAATGTTTTTAATTCCATTAACATTTAAGTTGATATTATATAGTTAGTTTAGCTTTGGGTCTTTGGTTATAGCTAATTTAACAGAATATTTTCATCAAAACTGATTTATTTTTACTTACTTATCCTTAGCAACTTGAACTTTCTCATCAAGTAAGCAAGATAGTTACTGCTAACAACAGCAATGCTTTGAATTTGTACATTGGCAGACATTTGAATTATTTCCATATGGTTCAAAATTTCTTAAGCAAAAATGGGCTTTGTAGACTTTATCAGTTCTGTTACACTGTTCTTAAATAACATGGTTTAAAAGTGAGAACTGTTTTCAAAATGATAAATGATATGACAGCATGACCAATTATTTGTCATCACACAAGATAAGCTGCTAGAATTCAATATCTTCACTTGGGCTCTACTGGACCATATATAACCTCTTTCGGTTGTCCAATAAAGCACCAAAAAGCATTTTAGCCTACTGGTTCAGGCAACCTATATGTCAAGCAGAAAAAATAAAACCACCATTCTCAGGTTTGTGTTTCCCCAGAGGAAGAAAACAGTTTGATGCAATTTGTCAAAAGCTGGAGTGGTACTTTAATGGGCAATTTACTTTAAATGGCTGCAGTTATTGCAGAACAAAGGCCCAAAGCCTGAGATAAAAAATCCTTTCCAATTGGTTTTACTCAGGTAGATTTAATTCCCTAAGATTAACTAAGGATGTCTAACCTCTTATATTCCCTGTCTATCTGGAAACAGTAAAAGTAATAATAATTCTGATTTTCTGGGATTTCTTCATCTTTAATAATGTGAAATACAATTAATTCCCTCAATCAGGAAATATGTTAAGATACCTGTGTTGGTTAGTTTTTCTTCACTATAAAAAAAATTAACAGAGGTAATCAACTTATAAGGAGAAAAGATGTGTTTTGCCTCACAGTTTTGGAGGTTAACAGTCCCTGAGGTCGGATTGGCCCCATTACTTTATGTCTGTGGAGAGGCAGGGCATCCTGATATGAGCACATAGCAGAGCAAAACCACACAGGCAGGAAGCAAAGGAGAGAAAGCAGGGGCAGGTTCCCACCATGCTCCTCATGGGCATGACCCCAATTACCAATAGACATCCCACCAGGACCACTCTTGAAGGTTACACCCCTCCGTAGCACCTCCTTGGGGACCAAGCTTCCAACTCATGGTCCTTCAGGGGACATTCAGGATCTAAACTACAGCAACACCTGAGAAAAGAAGCAAATTAAAAATTAAGAACAAACTAGGAAAAGACTACAACAAATTCCAAACTTCCTATTATAGCTCTTAGATAGAAGTTCAAAATAACCTTAAAATGTTATTAATATATTTATGTTTACATGTATGTATATGTTATAAACAGACATATTTTGCTTAAAAATATAATTATCAAATAAACAAAAGCTAAATTGAAAATTTTGATATGTAAAAATTTAAGAATATTTTATGCACATTTACATGCTTATTTATAAACTACTGTAAAATATTTCATAATTGCCATGAGAATGGTTTTAAGAAATGCCTACAAAGGTAATATTTAGCTGTTACTATATTGTTCATGTTAATGTTAACATTTGAGATTTTATTTGAAGCAGAGCTATTAAATTCTGTATATGTTTATCCCATTGCTCTGGGCATCTTGGTTAACCCCAAGTGGCAGAAGGCAAAAAGTGCTGAGTATAGAAGCATATTTGCCTGAAGTTGACCAGAATCACAAATACTCTGTTTCTATAGTATGACTGCTGATGGAAAATTGGACAGCTTCCCTAGAGACAAAGAGGACCCCCAAACAAAACTACAACAAAAACCCTGAAGTTTTGAATCCTGAAGTGGTTCAAAACAGGAAACTTTGAAAATTTTGTCTTTCCATGCATCTGGATATACATAATATGAAAATTTACATTTTATGAAGAACTTTTCAAGAAGAAATTTCCAGTTGACACAGACAGCACTTATGTTCTCAACCCTAGTTCTGGCTAATTCACTATTGTTTTTAATGACTATTGCTTTTAATGAATGACCTGCTAAGAACATGAACATTAACTAAATTTGATAGATTAATGTTAGTTTGTAGGAATACTGTACAACTTATTTTTCCAGTAAAACTACTTTCTATGCTTTAATAGCTATGTGTAAAGTAATAGTTAAAAATTCTCTTGTGATATACTAGTAAGGCAATTTTATTTATTTATCACAAATTTCTATGGTCTACAAAACAACATATAGGAACTTTTGTTTCAGGATTTTATTTTCTATACATCCTACAGAGAAATGAAGGCTCCACTTCAAAATGAAAATTTCTCTTCATTTAAAGGGAGTTTTACTTTATGTAAAAAGGAATGAACGATTATCAATATATACAGCATAGACAAATCTCAATTTCGTTGAGTGAAAGATGTCAAATGAAAATAATATATACCACATAATCCCATTTATATAATTTTTTGTGGCAAATCAGATCAGTGGTTGCATGAGGAGAGGGAATGTATGTAGGAGGGATGACAGTAGACACTAGGAAGCTTTCAAGATGATCATTATCTTAATTTTGATGCCAGTGTCCCTATGTCACTCTTACTGAATTGGAGAAGAAATATGGAGTGTTTTGTGTATCAATTATCCCTCAATAATACTGTTATATTAAAAACAAATATTTATTAGACATTTATAATGCTTAAATGTCAGATGCATTTTTTCATTCTTTATTAAGTACTTTCATGTCAGGATTGAGCCCAGGAGTCTTATGTATAAGCTGTATCATTTAGCCACTTTTCCAGACTCCATTTTTTACTTTTTAATCACTATTACAATTAATGAAATCATAGCTCCACGACCAGCACTGACTTTTAGTGGTTCTCATGAAATAAATTTTAATATTTAACTTGAATTTCAAATTACACAATTTTCAAAATAGACCACATACATTTTTCAAAATCCTCTATATACATAATACTAAAATTATATAAGGATTTTTAAATTCAGAGGTGCAGACTTTACAAATATATCTCTATGTTTGTCAGTTTGTCTTTGAGCACAAAAGTGCTGATATTTGAGAGTTCTGAAAGTTTTAGATTCTGTTATATTTTCTTAAAGCCTAACATTTTCTAATTTGCCATTGAGTGTCAATCCCTCAAGCATAATGAAACACCTCCAAACTTCCTGCCATTGTCATATCTAAATTTCTCCTGGAACATTTCTTTTTCTCTTACATGAATAAAAGTAAACAATTACAATAGTATGTCATAGATTTCTTTTTAAGCTTGAAAAGTCTTGAAAATATGTTTATTCTTAAAATAAATATGCTTGCTAAAATGAAAAATTAGATGCTTACTAATTTCCCTATCAAAATTTTATTTATCTTAAGTGTATTCTTTGAGACCCCAAACTTATTTTTATTACAGAAGATGGTTGTCACTGGAGTGATCATTCATCTTAAAGGCACACTTCCACCGGGAACAGACCTAAGTCCTAGATCATCTTTTATTGGACACTTTATGCTGCAAATACAGTCAGTAAGTACTCCTAATACATTACTGTGGTAGGTTTTCCAGGTGTAATTACAGATAAATTGTTTCAAATTATGTTTCACTGTTTATATATTTTCCAATAGCTTCTTTATTGTGGTTCTGATTCCACATTAACTGAAATGTATAATTGCTTATCTTTATTGATTTTTAATTTTTTAAACTAAACTTCTTTAAAAATAAAGCTCTAATTATGTATTTAGTTAGTAACATGCTAGATAAATTATCCAACAAGTCTATTTCTTTAATACGCTATATAGCAAGATGATTAAGAATAAGAGTTTCTGGAAGTGAGGATGTGAACCAACAGGAGCATTTAGTCAATGATAATAGGAATGCAAAATAACATCACCATTTTGGAAAATAGTCTGACAGTTTCTTACAAAGCTGAACACAATATTACCATATAAATCTTACCATACAATCCATTATTCATGTTCATAGGTGTTTACCCCCATGAGCTGAAAACTTATGTTCACCCAAATAACTATATAAGACTCTTTATAGCCAATTGCTCATAATTACATTCACGACATGGTTTTCAATATCCTCATTCCTATTAGTTTTCAGCCATAGAATTCTCTATTGACTTGGGATTCATCAACACTCAGCCAACAAGCATTTATTGCAGTTTCAGACACTGAGTGTGCTAGGTAGAGTCCCGTGAATAAGAGCAGACATACTTTCATAAAACTTACAATGCTAAGGAAGTACAAGACAGAAGGCTAAGTTACCTGAAGGGTGTACAGTTGGGGTGCTAGGAGAGCACATGATGGGAGAGTACAGGAAAAGATATTGTGCAACATCTTTGAAACACCACGCTGCAGTTCAAGTACTGATCTCCACCTCCGCGGTCCAATAGAGTCAATATTACTGGTGAATTTTCAAAACTGAAGAACCTCAGGGCTTCCTCCAGACATATAATTCAGAATCTGATTTTTTGCAAGATCCTCAAGTAATTTAAATGCACATTGAATTTTAAGAAGCTCTGCCTTAACAGCAATGAAGTCCACAAGATAAGAAATAGCTATAAAAGGAACCAATTTTTTAAACTTCAAATCAACATGTGGCAAATCCTTGTTTATCATTTCTAAATAATAAAAGTATTTTCTTGGTAAATCAGGTTAAAAACCGTCAACAGGCAAATTTGGGGAAGTAGATAAGGATTGAGATACTGATATATCAAACTCATGAAACAATTTTTCTTTATTACATAATATATACCAGAAAAATTTCATATACAACCATAATCTCATTTAATTCTGAGTACTGAGGAGAGTAAAATTCTTCAATAAATAGTAAATTTATGTATAACTGTTTCCAAGTTAGTTTTGCCTGACTTTAGATTTCATACTGCCAAATTTTTTGCTTCTATACATCCCTAATTTTCACACAGCATTAAAAAACAAAAGTGCTTTTTATCATAGAGGTTTATTATTCCTATCTAGTTTTCTTATCATGTAGGCTACAAGTACCCTGCTTAATAGAAAATAATGCTTTGGAAAATCCTTAGGCTTCACCAAATTCATGTTTTAGAAAATACTAAAATATTAATTGATTAAATATTTAACTTTATATGCTATATCTCATACTGATTAAACTTAAAATGTATATTATCTTAATTTTTTTGTGCTTAGAATAAAACATGTATCTTCAAATATGTGTTAAAAAATAAACAGGCATCTCAATATAAAATTGAGGGGTGGGTAGAATCAGCAATTATTCAGTTGTCATTCTTTGGACATTACTTATCCCATAGTGTATCCTATAATACAAATAGGAATGTTAAAAATCACAAGTAATAGAATTTAGGATAGAAAATGCATATTCACTCTTTTTACTGGTATATTTTTAAAAATTACCTGCCACATTTAAATTTAATTTATGACTACCAGTAAAACAACTCATTTTCCAAATAAAGTGTTTCTAAATTGTTTTTACAGACACTGATTAAATCAAAACTAGCAGCCACAAAATCCCTACAAGTTTCCCAAAACACTGTTTTAATCCTGCTTTCCAGCCAAATAAATGACAAAGTGGGATTCCTAGGCAAGAGCACCACAATATTGTCAGAAACCAAATTGCTCTTAAAACTGAAGCTAAAAGGCCTTTAACAGAAAAATTGGGGTCAGGCCCTTTCGCATGTACCAGATAAATTCAGAATTGGTTTAATATGTTCTGTGGTCTGAGAGTAAAAAATAATTGATATCTGATCAATGATGGTGTTGAGAGCACAAAGGTTTTCAGGCATTCAAAGCAGGAAATCGATATATAATAAAATTTTTAACTTATCGGGCATAACAAATGGCAACAAACATAATGAAAGCCATATGGTTGCGGTTAGAGAGTTTGAGGAGAACATGAAATTTATAATAAAGGAATCATATGGTATATTTAATGTCAGTGCTAGCTCTATTTCTCTACAGATAATGGCTATAAATTAGTGCTGCACAGTTGAGTGACTCATTTAAATCTAACAAGTTATTTTCTATGTAGTAACAAGGCATTTTACTTTACAGCTTAATTTTTAGAATTGTTCTTTTATATGGGCTACATGGAACTTAAGTCAATAGTTACAACACAAAAAAACTATCAATTGTAGCATTACAGCTCTACTAAAGATGTTTGTGATAAAACTAACTTGAATGTTTAAGAGTATATATATGTATTTTTATATATATTTATTCTTTAAAAATAGTCTTTAAAATCATCCCTCTCTACATATGTATATAGTAATTTGCAATATTTTGTGTCTACTTGAAATACATTGTGCTAAA